AGGAGATGTCTCTAGTTTGCTGTTTTCTTCCTAGAAAGGAACAAAGTGCTCTGAGCCACAGATAGACAAGCCCTGATGACTTTCCTACAGCTCCTATGAATGCAAGGGTTTTCCAGGGGAAGCCAACATTTCTGCCTCATCCAAGACCTCAAGTTCCTGATAAGAGTGCTGGTTGATGTCAGCTGCAATCTATGAAGGCTGGGAAGAGGCAGCAAGCATTGGTTAAGTCAGTTGGTCCTAGCTCTGTTTGCTAGCCAAAATGTAAACTATTTTGAGCGCTACAGTGGAGGAAGTTGGTCAGTCAACTGCAGAGCTCAGTTTGGGCTGATGAGTGGCCAGGAAGAGCCAAGACAGCTGACCCAATAGTAATAAAAGTCCATCCAGGCACCAAAACTCCAAACTTAAAGCAATAGCCTATAAAGAGACATGTGAAGGAAGTTAAATCTCTGATAATTACCTTTCTTAAATACCAATTAATCCAACCTTGTCAGTGCTTATATCATACTCCAGTCTGGTTGGTACACAGATTTGAGACCTGGGATTATCATTTTGTACAGAATTTGAGAATCATTAACCAAATTGAGGATGATTTCCCACAAGATTGAAGAATGTACAAAGAGAGATGGGGGGGGATTGAAACATAAAACATCAACCAATTTAAACTTGTTTTGCTTCCTTAAAACAGGTTGTTGGTTAATGATACCTTGAGTTATTTTTAGAGACAGCACCAGGCATGTACAAAAAGGAGCCCGTTTCCAGGATGATCCCTGAACCAAGAGGGTTCAGTCTGTGGAACTCTCAGAATAGGAATTTTGCCATGGAGAACTGTATGAAGTCCTTCAATATGGAAAATCTGGCTTCTAGCAGCATGAATAGCTTAAATGAACTAATTTAAGACTAGCCAATTAGCTTCCAAGTTTGCAGTTCCCCTAAACCCTTTAATTTTACCTCAAACCCTGGATTGAGGAGACAGATTTGAGAGCCCTGCCTCGTGTCTTCTTGCCACTCCACATTGGAATAAAATTTTTCTCTCAAAAGCCCGTTCCATAGTATTGGCTTCTATGTGCATCAGGCAGCGAGCCCTTGCTAGGGAACACTAGTGACTGATAGGCCTGGAATTAGATTCTTCTCTGAATTCCTCTAGATTCCACACTGTTAGACTCCCCTTGACCTAAAGCAGAGCTTGTGTTCCTTAACACTCAAATGTATCTTGGGATAAAAGTAAGGACTCTGGATATATTCCAATGCACTTCTTTAGGCACAAAACCTTGAAGACTACCTCAGGAAATGAGAGCAATGAGGAGTAGAAACAGATGATAGTGACAATAAGATCATCTCTCTATGCAGTGTCAGATAACCTCAATCATAATAGCACAAAGCCATCTTGGATGGCTTTTTTCCTTTAGAATTGTACTCATATCTCAGATATGGTGAGTTGGGTTCTAGATCACTGCAATAAAGTGAATATTGCCATAAATTAAATCACAGGGATTTCAGGGTTTCCCAGTGCTTATAAGAGTTGTTAACCCTATTGTATACCTACTGGAAAATGTCTAAAAATTATACATACCTTAATTTTAAATTATAATACAGTTACAATGTAACAAAGAGAATGGATCAGAGCACCATAAGAAATAAAATAAGGAAAAAGTTTAAAATATTTAAAGAAGTAACAAAATGTGGCCCAGGGATCCCAAGTGAACACACGGTTTTGGGAAAATGGTACCATAGACATGTTCAATGCAGGGTTACTGTAAACATTCATTTTGTAATGAAACACAGTATTTGTGAAGTATGATTAAGTGAAGTACAATGTTTAAAGGTATGCCTATTAATCAATTAAAATGATTCACATAAGAGTGTGACTCTTGCTTTTTAAAGATATTAGTTTGTTTTAATTGGAGGCTTATTACTTTACAATAATTTGGTCGTTTTTGCCATATATTGACATGAATCAGCCACAGGTGTACATATGTCCCCCCCATCCTGAATCCCCCTCCCACCTCCCAGAAAGGACGGTTCAGCATTTTTCTCTGAGTGTACCCCATTCTGCCCCCTGCCTTCTCTGGCAATTCCCCATCTCACCTCAAGTCTGGGACATGAGACTGTAAGTTTTACATTAGGGACACTTCTCAAGATTTTACAGGCATGTGGTTTTTCCCAGGAATCATTTAATCCAAGAGGTAAACAAAATGAGGGCCCCCATGAGTGAGGACTGGAGAGACAACCACCTTAAAATATAGGTCATTCGGAGACCTGCCCAAACTTGCTCTTGGACTCAGAGTGCCCAGAGCGGGCATTGTCTCTTATAAGCCTTGTAGTTCTCTGTGAGGTCAAAGTCTTTGGCTAAGAAGAATGGCCTCAGTTCAGTGGAGGGAGAATCTCAGGTTGGAGGGTCAGGTCCCAGGACTGTGCAGGATCATGGTGAGGTCACTTACTGGATAGAGAAGTATCAGTAGACCCACAAATGAGGAGACTTTACAGACCCCTGCCCCTATTCTTAACCCCAGAGGCTCCAGGCAGTTATAAAGATGAGAAGCCTCTCAATTTTTGTCTGATCTCAGCGAGGGAAGGGCTTTGTCAGGATCAAACCCCAGTTCTGCAGAGCAGGGCACCTTGGTCATCACCACAGTGAAGATGAGGACCATCGGTGATAATGAGAGGGTCCCTCCCACCAAGGAGGAAGGCTCACAGAGTGGCACCTCTCCTGTCAGGGAGAGATGCTCAGAGAAGCACCCTGACTCCCCACTAGGGACCCAGGGTGGTGAAGGCTTTGATTGGGGGCAGGAGGACTCAAGTCCATAGAGCAAGGGGTCCCGGGCTCTGACACACGGCACACAGAGGACCCTAGGGGTTGACCCAGAGACTGCTGAACACTAAACGATGGGATCCCCACAAGCCCCGCCCCTGGAATCATCCCTCAGAGATCCCACACAGGGCAGCCTTAGCTGGAAGTGTCTCCCCCCTCCCCCAACTTCCATGCTGGAGGTGAAGAGCTCTGACTGCTATTCAGGGCGTTCATTTAGACGAGAGTAGATTCCCAGGACTGATCTGAAGGCATGGTGAGGACCTGAATGTGGACTCAAGGGACCATTGCCCCCTCCTGTAACAAAGCAAAACCGACAAAGTCTCGCCTCTGTGGTTGACAGGGAACAGTTCCTACAATGCTGTTAGGCTTCCTTTTTTGGTAATTCTTGATCTAAGAGATTCTTTAAAATCTAAGAGATTTCTTGATTCTGGAAATGAAGGAAATCTAGGCTCTAACTCCAGTCACAGGGAGAGCCCCGAGGGCTAAAAGGGCACAGGCAGTAAAGATGGTGACAGAAAGCAGCCCCCTTGCACTCAATTCCTGGACTTCCCTGCTGAACTCTAGGAGGTGAAGCTTTGTTTGGATGCTTGTGGACACAGTTCAGTAAAGGAAGGTGTGTTATTCCCTGATAGATAGGAAGATGGGGATGCCGGATGAGAACCATAGAACAACCACCCCCCCGCCCTGAATTCTCCCCCACCCCTATAGTACTATCTGAGACCCTGAGCATCATGGTGGGATACGAGTCATCCTCACTTCTGATCTACAGTTTCTAGGAAGTAAGGACTTTTTTGAGGGCCTGGCCTCTGGCCGGCGGAGGGTGGATTCCCAACACTGGCCCAGATTTGAGGTGAAGACTGAGTTGGGACTGAGGCAGGGGGCCACTCAGCCCATAACAAAGAGGGCCACACCAAGTCTCACTGCTGCTGTAAGCCCTGGGAAGCCCTAACAGAGCCATCAAACTGAGTTCTTCCCGGGAAGTCTCAGGGATGGGAGGGCTTTGGTCTCAGGAATAGCTCCTGCTTGCAGATGGAGGATACCTCTGTCCTAACTGCAGTGAAGTGAGCGCCCTAAGTACTGATTGGGGGCCCCTCCCCATTTAGGGATGGTATCACAAAGCAGAGTGCCTACATATCTGGGAGGCTCCAGTGAAGGGTAGTCACGTATGTAGTACCCTGACTTTGCCCCTCCAGGGACTCAGGGAATTGAGGACTTTGCTCTGAGGCTGAACAACCCAGGTTATTGGTGGGAGGAGTCCTGAGTTCTACCCAGACCTGAGTGAGGACTAAGGTGAACACCAGCTCTAAACTTAAGTTCTCATAAATTTTGGCCCTTTTCCATGTAGAAACCTAGAGTATCTGTAAAGATGAGAGAGTTCAGAGAAGTGAGAATGTTGGACTAAGTGAATGACCTCAATTCTGCCAAGGTGGGAGGCCCAGGGCTTCAGAGGAGTCCGGGTGAGGACCCTGAAAGAACTGATGTTTGCACTCACCCACCAACAGGGGATCAAGAGAGAGTACCCTCCGCACCACCCCCTTCCTGGCTCACAGCACTGAGCCAGGCATGAAGTCAGGTGTATGTGAACCCTCCTTTCCTTCTGATGGTATGGGATTGGAGAGAGCCATTGTCTGAGAGGAGGTGCACCAGGGCAGCAGACACAGGTGTCCCAGGAGCCAAGGCAAGACCGTGAAAGAGGACGGAGAACCCCAGTGAGCCCAGGACAGAGTTCCCTAGAGCTGACTGCTGTGGGTGCCCCCCGCCAGGGACACTGGGCTGAAATGCCCCTTCACCTCTTAAGGTATCATAGGAAGATGAAGACTGGGCTTTGGGGTATAAGCTTAGACCACACAGAGGAGGGGGCCCTGCGCCTGCCAAAAGTTGATACGATTGTCCTGAATATGAACCGAGAGGACCCCACCCTCCAAAATGGAGGGGGGTGTCCACGAGGACTAGACTGGCCCATTGCTCCTCAGCCTCAGGAGGCAACTGGCAGGGCTGGCAGGCTGAAACCTGAGTCTCACCTTAATTATTTCACCAGAGTTTTCAGAGGACAGGGCGATCAGAACAGTAGTCCTTTGGGTTCGCAGAGCAGGGCAGGCGTGGAAACCTGCAGAGTGGGCCTTCTTAAAGGCAGAGTGTGCCTCCCTGCCACAGGCGCTTCATCCTCTCTTCCTCTCTCCTCTCTGCCCAGATCACGTGCTGTTCTACCTGCGCTCCTGCCTGTTGTCCCTGACCACAGTCACCATGCCTCGGCGTAAGAAGGGTAAGCGCCACACCTCTGCAAAACGCCGCCAGGCTCAGCATGGCACCCAGGATCTGAGGGGCGCTCAGGTCACTGCCACCACGACGGAAGCACACACTTCTTCCTCCAGCCCTGGTCCCGGGGTTGATGCTAAGGGAAAGCCGGGTGCTAGGTCTGGTAAGCGTCTCAAGCGTCCTCGGGGGGCGCTGGCCGCCACCACTGTGCCTGCAGGTGTTTCTCCCACAAAATCATCCAAAAGAGCCACTGGGGAAATTGGGAAAACAGATAATTCCTCTCAAGCCACTGAGGAAATTAGGAAAACAGATAATCCCTCTCAAGCCACTGAGGAAATTGGGAAAACAGATAATCCCTCTCAGGCCCCTCTCTCCAACGTGCGGTCTGGAAAACGCTCACTAACCAGGCCGACGTATCAGTTGGTGTAGTTCCTGTTACGCATGTATAAGACGAAAAAGCCCATTAGGAAAGTGCATATGCTGAAGATCATTGATAAAAAGTACCAAAATCGATTCCCCAGGATCCTCAAAAGAGCTTCTGAGAGCATGGAGGTGTTATTTGGTATTGACGTGAAGAAAGACAACACTGCCAAGCATTCTTATGTCCTTGTCAGCAAGATGAATCTCCCCCGCAACGGGATCGTGCACCGTGGCAGGGATTTTCCCAAGACCAGTCTCCTGATGAATCTCCTGGGTGTGATCTTCATGAAGGGCAACTGCGCCACAGAGGAAGACATCTGGGATTTTCTGGGTAAGATGAAAATCTATGCTGGGAAGAGGCACTTCTTATTTGGGGAGCCCAAGAAGCTCATCACCCAAGATTTGGTGTAGTGGTGGGCCTTGGGAAAATATAAGTCCTTCAGTGGGAAGTAATTATCAGTTGAGGGCATGGCAGGCTGGATGAGGCTGTGGTAATCCTGACCAGGGACCAGGTTCTCACATGGTGGGCCCCATAGTTTAAAGACAAAGCCTGGGATGGGAAACTGCCCTTAACAGTTATAGGCACTTTGCTCTGTTGCACTTTGATTTATTGTATTTCACGGGTACTGCTTTTCTTTTCTTTGTTCTTTTTCTTTAACAAATTAAAAGTTTGTCTGCCAACCTTGCTTCCAGCAAGTGTTTTGGCTCCATGTTTCCAACACTGTTTGGTTACTTCATGTCTGTGTCACATTTTGATAACTCTTGCAATGTTCACACCCTCAGCAGAAAAAAAAAAAAAATGGACTCGGTGAAGGCTCAGAAAATGGTTAGCATTTGTTTTAGCAAAGAGGTGTTTTTAATTAAGATATCTATATTGTTCTGAAGCATAATGCTATTGTGCATTTAATAGCCTATAATATAGTATAATCATAAATTTTATGAAAGCACCGGGAAACCAAAAATTTGTGACTGCATTGTGATATGGACTTTTCTTTGGGGGTTGAGAACCAAACCTGCAGTATTTTCTGAGTCTGCCTGTGCTTTGGGATTGTGAGTAAATCAGACAGAAATCACATGAAGCTGGCATGGAATGTGTCCTGTGCACTTGTTTGGGTGCATGTAAACACTGTGCAGATGAGATGTTTTATTCACATTACCTTCTCTCCACAGAGTTTCTGAGAAATCAGGGTGGCACTCCCCTGAGGTGGGATGATGCCCAGAAGCTGCTAGACTGGCATACTCTGTGCTGTCTGTGCATAACTGTCAACTCTTAGGTTCTGAATGTTTTTTCCGTCTACAGTTCATTCTCATCTACCCTCCCATAGCCCATGGCAACCACCACTCTTCTCTCTGCTTTTTTGTTTTTGACCATTTTATGTTGCTCATATAAATGACATCACACAGTATTTCTCCTTCTGTGTCTGGCTTATTTCACTATAGCATAATGTCCTCTAGATTTTACATGCTGTCATTAACTAGAGAGGTTAGCTTCTTTTAAAGGCTGAATGATATTCCATTGTATGTATATTTTACATCTTCTTTATCCCTTCATCTGTCACTGAACACCTAGGCTGCTTCCCTCTCTTAGCTATTGTGAGCAGTGCTGCAATGAACATGGGAGTGCAGAGCTCTCTTCGAGGTCCTGATTTCAATTCCTTTCGATAGTAGTGGAACTGCAGAGAATATTGTGTTATTTTTGCTTTTTCCGGTACCTGGATACTGCTTTCCATAGTGGCTGTACCAATTTACATTTCTACTAGCAGTGTTGAATATGTATAGTTTACTAAGAAAATTGCAAACTGTCTTCCAAGGTGGCTCTCCCGTTTTGCATCACCACCACCAAGGAATGAGAGTTCTTGTTGATTCATATCCTTACCAGCATTTGGTGGTGTCAGTCCTTTGGATGCTGACCATTCTGAAAGGCACGTTGTGGTATCTTGTTTATTTTAATTTGCAGTTCCCTAATGGTATATGATGCTGAGCATCTTTTCATATGCTTGTTTGCCATCTGTGTATTTTCCTTGGTGAGGTATCTAATCATATGTTTTGCCCACTTTTATTAGATGTTAGTTTTCTTATTAATTTTTAAGAGTTCTTTGTATATTTTAGATTAGAGCCTTCATCAGATATGCCTTTTGCAAATATTTTTTCCCAGATTATGACTCATCTTCTTGTTCTCTTGGTGTATTTTTATAGAGCAGAAGTTTAAAGGGAATGAAATCTAGCTTATCAATTATTTCTTTCATAGAGCCCTATCACTTTATTCTATGATCTTTTATTGATTGATTGATTGGTATGTGGCACATGGGGTCTTAGTTCCCCAACCAGGGTTTGAACTCTCACTCCTTGCACTGGAAGCACCATTTTTCTCTAATTTTAAATTTTTATTTTGTGTTAGAGTATAGCAAATTAACAATATTGTGACAGGTTCAGGTGAACGGTGAAGGGACTCAGCCATCCATATACATGTATCCATTGGCTCCCAAACTCCCGTCTCATCAATACTGCCATATAATATATAACCAAAATAATTAAGAGTGATAAATAAAGGAGACAAAGAGATAATGCTCAGTAACAATATGATCATCTGCTTGTGCAAAATTAAACACCCTCAAGTTATCAAGGCTTGCAAGATTATCTGCCACTATCCCTCTCTGTAGAATGTAAATATTTATTTAATTAAAACATTTATTTTTATTTATTTTTTGACTGCTCTGGGTCTTAGTTATGACACTCAGAATCTTTGTTGCCTTGGGCGAAAAATTTGTGGCACATGAGATTTTTAGTTGTGGCATATGAACCCTTAGTTGTGGCATGTGGGATCCAGGTACCTGACCAGGGATCAAACCCAGGCAGGGAGCACAGAGTCTTAACCACTGGATCAACAGAGCAGTCCCAAAATAAAGATTTTAGAACTAACCTAAATCTGATGGCTCAGATGATAAAGAATGCCCCTGCGATGCAGGAGACCTGGATTCGATCCCTGGGTTGGGAACATCCCCTGGAGGAGGCAACCCACTCCAGGATTCTTGCCTGGAGAACCCACATGGACAGAGGAGCCTGGCAGGCTACAGTCCATGGGGTTGTAAAGAGTTGGACATGACTGAGCGACTAAACACACACCCTAAATCTGACTGAAGAGAAGGAATATATCAACTCTTTTTCTCTGACAGCATAACATCTATCTTGAATTCCTTGATTCATGCTGCATTTTCCTAATCTTATATCATTTTTGGGACTGAGACCCATTTTCCCCAATATTTGCTAGACGTTAGCTGCTGAAATGTTTGTAGGAACATGCATTTCAAGGAAGCCTTTAATCAAGCAACAGAAGCTAATATAGGAACCTTCATGAAGGAGGACCGAGGAGACAGTGACCCCTGAATATAAGGGTCACCCAAAGACTGAGAAGAATCTTCGATCAGTAGAGAGAGCAGTCCCAGGCTGTGGTAGACATAGTGAGGATGATGCTGAGTAAGAGGAGTCCAGAAGGACTCGAGTTGCATCCCCACTCTGTTCTCAGAGGCTCCAATAGACTACAATGGAACGAGGATCACCCTGACTTCCTACTTGGAATTCTCAGGAGACTAGGACTTTGATGTAAGACAAGCAACTTCATAAAGCAGAGAGTGGAGTTACAGGATTCGTCACGTGTCTATGTAAGGACCTGAAAGTGGACTCACAGTAGCACACACTGCATCAAAGGAGGCCCTGGAAAATCTCTGTCGCTGTGGTCCCCAGGAAGCTCTGGGCACAGATGTCAGGTTGATTTCAGTCTGGAAAGGCTCAGCGAGGTGAGACCTCTGTCTAATATGATCAGCCTCATTTTCACAAAGGGAGGGACCTGAATCCAAGGAGGACCTCACGTAATAATGCTGAGTGTTAGAGGGGACCCCTAGAAAGGGAACCAAACAGAATTCTGTAAATTCTTAGCCCTAAGAGACCCAAAAGAGCTACTTCTGAGTGGTCCCCTATTTCACCTGTGTGATCTCAGGGAGGGCAGGGCCTCCTCTAGCGGAATTGGACCCCAGATCTGCAGAAGGAGGCATCTTGACCATAACCGGGCTTAAAGTGAGGACCGTCGGTACTAGTGAGAGGGCCTCCCCCAAAAGAGGGAGGCTCACAGAGTGGCGCCCCTCCTGACAAGCAGAGATGCTCAGAGCAGTGCCCTGACTCTCCCCACTAGGGACTTTGGGAAGCAAGGGCTTTGTTTGGAGGCTGGAGGACTCGAATTCATAGACAGAGGCGTCCCGAGTTCTGACAGGCTGCACAGGGTTGACTGTGAGAGAGGATCCAGGGACAGATGAATATTGAGCTACGAGGGTTTCTGTAGGTCCTTGACCCTGCCGTCGTCCCTGGGAGACCTCACGTAGGACCGTATGCCCCGCCTCTCCACTTCTGCTTCTGAAGCGAGGCGCCCCACCGCTTGCTGTGGCATCTGTTCTGCAGAGATTGATTGTCCAGGACTCGTCTGGAGCTGAGGTGAGGACCTGAGTATAGTTGAAGGGAATTTCCCAACCTCTCCCAGTAATAAAAGTGACCCAGCCTCATCCCACCCCTGCAATCTGCAGTTTCTCTGGCCCTGTCCTGAATTACAGGGCCAAGCAGCCATCTTGTCGTTGCCACATGGAGGACCGCGGCAGGTCGGGCGGCTTTGTTTAAAGAGGGTGGCCTCTTTAGGCTAAGGGAGTAGTCTTATTCTCAAAAGGTGAAAAGATGGGGCCTTCAGAGCTCACGGGGGTATCTCCTTCCAAAGAGGTGACTGCACAGAGGCCCCTCCTGCCGCCATTGCTGCCGGGACCTGGAGTAGCGGCCCTCAGTCTTTTTGGCACTGGGGACCGGTTTTTTAGAAGACAGTTTTTGCATGGGGTGGGGTGCGCTGGTGGGATGGGGCGCGATGGGGTGGACGACAGAGGGTGGGGTGGCATGGGGGTAGGGTGGGTTAGGGTAAAGGGATGGTTTCAGGATGCTTCAAGCATATTACATGGTTACTTTCTGTTATTATTACATCCACTCCAGTTTAGATCATTAGGCATTAGATCGGGAAGGTTTGGACTCCTACCATAGGGGTCCAAATTACCATAGAGTAATTCAGGCTGAGAGAACCCATCGTTTTTGTGTTGGGGGTCATGGCGGGCATTGGGGGTAAGGGACGTTCAGGTAGAGAAAGGCATTTATATAAAAGGGTATGGACTAGAGAGTATTACGTATGCTAAGTGAAGCAAGTTAGAGAAAAACAAACTATATGATTTCATTTGTATGAGGAATCTGTAAAACAGAAACAGTTGTTGATGCAGAAAAAAAGGAGGTGGTCATTGATGGGAGTTAAGGTTGGGAGTGTGGGGGAGACAAATAGATGAGGAAGATTAAGATATACTAACTACCAGTTACATAAAAAAAGCAATGGGTGTGAAAAGTAAATAAAGAGATAGAAAGATAGATAAGGTAACCCCGATAGGCATAGGGAGGAGTCTAAGCCTTAGAGAAGTCTAACTAGGACTGTCAGTGCTAGTCAGCAGGCCCGGCATGCAAGTGGATTGCTGCACTGAGGAGCAGCCCCACTCTCAGATCTGGGCATCCAAAACAAGGTAGCTGGGTGTGGAGCCCCCAGCATCTCCTCTAGCCACTCAGGGAGGTGAGAGCTTTGCTCTGGGGAATGTAGACTTAGGTCAGCAGAGGGAGGGCTCCCAAACCATACCCAAACTGGAGGCCAGAATCCTGAGTGAGGACAGAGGGAGCCCCTGACTCCAGAACTGCGGGGGGTTGAGAGACCCACCCTTGTGGTTAGCAGCACAGCCCCAAATCAGTTTTGGCAGGATGTGGCTCACTCTGTCAGCTCTGGTCCCAGAAAAGTGAAGACCTTTTTGCAGGGTTTTGAGCTCAGATTGACAGGGCAGAGTCCCAGGAAGGAGGCAGAGTTGAGGGAAAGATCCATACATGGTAGAGAGAGCCACATCTGATGCTGCCTCTGCTATCAGCCCCGGGGATCCCAGGACAGAGCTGGCCAGTTCTGGTGCCCCTGACTTCTGCCTGTGGGGTCTGAGGGAGATGAGAGCCTTGGTTTCAGGTCCGGCTGCCCAGGTCAGCAGAAAACGAGGAGTCCTGGGCCATGACAGATGTTGAGGCACCAATTCTATGTGAGGAAGGAGACAACTGACTCCCGCAGAACAGCAGAGCCCACGCAGAGTGCCACCTCTTTCGTCGCCCTGGGAAGCCGGGTTAGAGCTCTCAGGCTGAGGTGCCCTCTCATTTCCTCCAAGGATGGTCTCAGGGACATCAGGGTTTGGGTCTGATAGGTGAGGCCTCATTCAACATAGGGAGGAAGCCCCGTTCCTAAAAGGAGTCACAGTAGAACACTGAATGAACATGCGAGAACCCCACCCAGAAGGAAGTGAACCACATAGTCGCATCACTCCTCTCAGACCTGGGAGACCCAGGTGTGGGGACCAGATGACCCACATTCGCTTCTTCCCAGAGCCTCACAAGGAGGTGAGGAACCTCACTGATGGGGATTTGGGTTCAGGTCCACCGCTGGAGCATTTGCAGCTAGCAGCAGGAGCACAGGAGAGGACCTAAGAATTGAGGGGACCACCCACCTACCCCACGACAACAGAGGGCAGTGCAGAATCTCTTCCTGACTGTCCACATCAGGAGTCCACACACAGCTATAGCTAGAGAGATCATGGAGATGGGGGCCTTAGTAGGACAGGAGAGATCTCAAGTCAAGACAGAGATTTCCTGGTCCTGCCAGGAGTCACGGTAAGGACCCAGAGAGATCACTTAGATGAGAACCTACCCAAAGCAGTGGGGGCCCACAAAGTCCCAGCCCCTGTCAGTCCTGAGACACCCCAGGCAGAGGTCACCAGATGTCATCCCTCACTTCCAGCCCCAGGAACTCAGGGAGATGTGGGCCTTGATCTGAGGCCAGAAGACTCAGGGTGGACTAAGAGAGGAGCATAGGTCCCATCCAAGTGAGGACAAAAGGGGCCAGTGATGACAGTAAGAGTCCCATAGAGTCCAGCCCCTGCTGCCATCCCAGGGAGGTCAGGGACAGGGGTGACTGGAGGTGGCTCAAAATTTCTTTCACCTTTGGAACCTCAGCATGCTCAGGTCAGCAGAGGGAGAATTTCTAGCATTTGCCAGGACTCATGGAGAAGATGCTGAGGACTGTGGGAAACTCCCAGAATTCCTCTCACTGTCACTCCCTGGCACCCCCAGGCATACATGGCGGGCAGCAGTGTGTCTCACTCACAGCTAACAGGAAAGTGAGCACCTTAGTCTAATGGGTCAGCAGAGGAAGGAATCTTAGACTCTCCCCTAAGTAAAATCTGGGCACCTTACATGAGGACCACACATTACAGGGCCTCAACCCCCAGCTACACCTTTTCAGGCCCCAGAGACCGTGGGCAGTAGGGCCAGGTAAGGCCACCCTGGCTTCCCCCATTCGATCTCAGGGAGCTGTTGGCCTTGCTGTGAGGAAAGGTCCTCAAGTCAGGAGAGAAAGGAGCCCCCAGATCCTCCCAGGAGTCAAAGTGGGGACTGTGAATGAAGACTGAAGGTAGCACGCTCCCCCTTCCAGCTAATCAAATGAACACTAAAGAGTCTTGCCTGATCCTCCACTGAGGCCCCTCATTTCTTTGTGTCATTTCTAAGGGAAATGAGGTTCTTCACCTGAAGGGGCGGCACCAGAGGCAGGAGGGAGGGGACCACACCCTCAGTGTTGACAGGATAAGGACCCTGAATGGAGAAGCAATGAGTTCAGGACAGAGCAGGCCCCCAGAACTGCCAGTGCCATCCTCCCCGACAGTGTCCATGACTCAGTTCTTTCTCTTAGGTCCCACGGAGCTTTGAGGCATCACTGTTCAAGTGGCATATGGCAGGGGTCCCGGCTCTACTAAGAGCTGATGTGCCAGTTGTGTGTGTGAACAAAGTGGCCCAGAGAGGGCCCTGCTCCCAGGATCTGCTGTCACTGCAGGCAGCCACAGGCAGGCTGTAGCCTGAAGCTGGCTCACTCTCACTTCTTACACCAGGTTCTCAGGGGATAGGCTGACCAAGAACAAGAGGCCAGTGGTTCCTGGAGCAGGGCTCTCAAGGAAATGGGCAGATCAGTCTTCTTCCTTCCCTGCTGAAGAAGCTCATCCACTCATCTTCCCTTCTCCAGGTTGCAGCATCACCTACTTGCCTGCCTGGTCCCCTGTCCGCTGTGCCTGCTGATAGTCATGCCTCGGGGACAGAAGAGCAAGCTCCGTGCACGTGAGAAACGCTGCCAAGCACGCATGGAGACCAAGGATCTCGGGGATGCTCAGGCTGCTGCCTCCCCCACCCCTACTTCTGGGAGTACACCCCCGGGCTCCCCCACTGCTGGTGCGGGCCAGAATCCTCAGGGAGCTGCAGCCACTAGCTCTCCTGTTGCAGGGGCTTCACGCCCAAGATCTAAAGCACATGCCAGGCGCCAAGCTAAGCAACGTAGAAATTCTTCCCAGGTCTCAATCTTTTCTAAGCCCGCTCCCCCAGATCCTCTGACCAAGAAGGCAGGGGTGTTGATGCATTTCATGCTAGAGAAGTTTAAGATGCAAGAGCCCATTAAGAAGATAGATATGCTGAAGGTTGTCCACAAAATGTTCAAGGCACACTTCCCCGAGATCCTGAAGAAAGCTGCTGAGCGCATCGAGCTGATATTTGGCCTTGAATTGAAGGAAGTCAAGCCGAATGGTCACTCCTATACCCTGGTCTGCAAGGAGGACCTTGCCAAAGATGGGGTGCTGGGCAGTACCTTGGAGGTGCCGAAGAATGGGCTTCTGATGCCTCTGCTGAGTGTGATCTTCCTGAATGGCAACTGCGCCTCTGAGGCTGATGTCTGGGAGTTCCTGAATATTCTTGGCATCTATGATGGGAATGCCCACATAATCTTTGGGGAGCCCAGGAAGTTCATCACTGAAGAGTTGGTGCAGGAGAAGTACCTGATATATCGTCAGATTCCTGACAGCGATCCCCCGAGCTGTGAGTTTGTGTGGGGCCCAAGAGCCCACGCCGAAACAACCAAGATGAAGGTGCTGGAGTTTGTGGCCAAGATCAATAATACCGTCCCCAGTGCTTTCCCATTCCATTATGAAGAGGCTTTGAGAGATGAGGAAGAGAGAGCCAAAGCCAGATCTGCAGCCAGGGCTCGTGGTGCTGCTAAGGCCATTGCCCACTCCAAGGCCCCACCCAGCAATCCGTCCAGCCCCCAGTGAGGTCTCAGGCAGCGTCTTCGCTTTGTTTGACCAATACTGCCAACCTTTTTAGTAGTGAGAGGATAAAGTGGGGCTGGAAAGGTCATAATATATTTTTTGTGCTCCTGTTTTACCGTTACCTTTCAAATGTTGTTTCTTTTCCTAGAATGTTTGTTTAGATTCAGAATCCAAGTTTACAAATGACACAGATCACACATTTGTTGTCTGTCAGATCTAAGAGTAAGAGTTTTGGCACTGTGTAGTACAATTCAAAAAATCCTTGCATCTTTTGGGGATCCAGAACAAGATAACATAGCTTTGTAATAGGAATTTTCTTAGAAATGTGAAAGAATGCTGTGGTTTTAAAACAGATGAAAACGATGTAAGCTGTAGTCAAGTTTTGATCTTTGTTATTCACCTTTGTCTTTCTAACATTTGGCAGTACCCTTAGTGATACACTTAGCTGTTCTTAGCTTATTCAAGAATGTTGATAAAGTTAATAAGAAACTACGTTCCTTGCTTGGTGGCTCCTTTATTCCCATCTTTACTTGAGCATCTGCTCTTCAGAAGGTTCTGTGCTGGTGGGGGTGATGCGAAGATAAAGGAGAACCTGCACCTGCCTGTGGATGTCTTGAGTATATGAGCAGTGATTCCATAAGGAAGGTGGTGTGATGATCTCAGACAAGTGACAAAAAGGACGCAGGATGCTGGTGAGGGAGTTGGGATGAGAGCAGTGAGGTCTAAATTCTCTCAGCCTTTATTCTCTCAAACCAAAACTTTGAGGTTTGGTATTTTGGCCAAGGTCAATGGTAACGTCCCCAGTGCCTTCCTGCCCCATTATGAAGAGGCTCTGAGAGATGACGAGAGATCCCGAGCTGCACTTAGGGTTTGTAGTCCTGCCAAGGCCAGCGTGTGCTCCAAGGTCATGCCTAGCAGTCCCTCCAGCCCCCAGTGTGGTCTGAGGCAACTTCTTCACTTTGTGTTTGACCAACACTCCCAACCTTTTTAAGTTGTGAGAGGCTAAGGTGGGGCTGGAAAGCTAATCATAATATATATCTTTGCATTCCTGTTCCTTCTTGGGAGGTCATTTTAAGTTGGCTGCGTGGTGGGCTGGATGAGCCTGTGATAATGGTGAGCTGGGGCCAAATCCCTAGATGGTGGACCTCAGAGTTGTGAGGCTGAGACTGAAATGAGAAGCTGCCCTGAACAGTTACCCTGAGATTGTGAGTCAACTGGAGGGAATCTCCACCTGGGGAAAAAATGGAAGGTGTCCACCTGCCCCAATGCAGGTGAACACAGTCCACAGACCAGCTGTTTGATGCCTATTGTTGTCTCCTTTCTGATGGGATGTTGAGAAGTCACTGTGCTGGCATTCTGGTCCCTGAATGGAAGGAGCCCCAGCACACTCCAAACATGAGGGTATCTCAAGTGTAATCTAGTAGACCTCCTGAGAGGGGCTAGATTTTATTGGTGGTGAAATACATGAAAATCGGGGTGTTTTGTCGGGAGGTCTTTGGGAGGCAGGGGAATTACTGGTCCTTGACATAAGTTCTATAACGTTTTGAGTTGCATCATGGTAAAATGCTTGCCTCTAAATTCAATAACATATTCTATGATAGAGAAAATTTACTTAGGGTTACTTGTTTAGTTGCTAAGTCGTGTCTGACTCATTATGGCCCCATGGACAGTAGCCTGCCAGGCTCCTCTGTCCATGAAACTTTCCAAGAAAGAATACTGGAGTGGATTGCCAATTCCTTCTCCAGGGGATCTTCACAACCTAGGGACTGAACTGGCATCTCCTGGTTGTCAGGTGGATTTTTTACCACTGAGCCACCGGGGAAGCCCTAGGGTTTCTTGCTAAGCAGCAGTTTGATTGACTTAGCTTTCTTTGTTTAGAAGACCACATGGTCTCTAGTTTCTCCTGGATAAAGAAAAATTCCCATAGATGAAGGTAGACATTCCCATAGATTTTCTTCTAGTATGAAAATAAGCGTTATAAAACCTAAACATTGCCAGCTGCAGTGCCAGGTGCTTTACACAAGCTACATATGTTCCAATAATTCTATAAGACAAGTCTTACCAAACTCACTTAGCAGACAAAGAACTTCTATTCTCCAGGCTGATAAAGTGACAGAACTGAGTGTAAAGCCTGGTCTGAATTGCTCTAGAGTCCATAATGTTTCACTCCTCCCAGTCCGAGGCTGATATTTTGTCAATTCATTTCTCTTCACACTGCCTGGCTGTGATCCCCCTCGCTATGGGGGATCCGAGAGTGCTCCTGTGGGGTCTGAGAGCAGTTATGGAAACCAGCAAGGTGAAAGTCTTGGAGTTTTTGGCCAAGGTCAATGATACTGTCCCCACTGCATTCCTGACCCATTATGAGGCGACTTAGAGAGAGGAAGTTGAGAGCACTGGAGCCAGAGCTGCAGCCAGGGCTGGCACCTCTGCCTTGGACAGTGATGCCCCTTCTGTGGCCAGTGCCCACTCCATGGCCACGTCCGGCCACTCACCCCTAGTGTGGTCTGAATCCGTTCTTCACTTTGTGATCACAAAAGCCTGTCAACCTGTGTTCCTGATGTGCGTCAATAACTTTTTGACATCCTTTTCTTGTGGGGGGTGAGGCGGTAATTTTCAAGTGATTTTCCTTTCAGTAGAAAGTTTATTTAGAGTCAGAACATAAACTTATGAATGACACGGATCACACACTTATTGCTGTTTATCAGATTTAGAAATAAGAATTTTGCTTTCTGAAATACAAACTGAAAAAATTTTAAATCATCTGTGTGACCCAGAGCAAGATTACATGGCATTTGAACAGGGGTATCCTTGGTAATGTGAAAAACCCCACACTAAGATAGGATAAGAAGAGAAAAAAAGTTAAAGTGGTTCAGTTATGGATCTAGCTTACTGTATTCAGTCTCTCATTCCTAAATTTCAAAGATATACACCTTTTAAATTTAGAAACATATATAACTTTTGCATTTAGGGTATACTTAAATTATTAAAGAAAATGTGAGTTTATGAAACTGTAAATTGATGCAGCCACTATGGAAAACAGTATAGATGCTCATAAAAAAATTGAAAATAGAACTACCATGTGATCTGGCAACTCTACTCCTGGAAATTTAGCTGAAAGAAATGAAGCCAACACTTGGAAAAGATATCTGCACCCTCCATGTTCGTTGAAACATTATTTACCATAACCAAATTATGAAAACAACATAACTGTCCATTAATGGATGAATGGATAAAGATAATGTCACACAGACACACACAGACACACACACAGACACATACACACAGAGAGACACACACAGACACACAGACACACACACACACTGTCACACAGACACACACAGACACACACACAGACACATACACACAGAGAGACACACACAGACACACAGACACACACACACACTGTCACACAGACACACACAGACACACACACAGACACATACACACACACACACACACATCCTCACTCAGATATTATTTAGCCAATAAAAGAAAAAAAGGAAATCTGACCATTTGCAGTAACACAGATGCACCTTGAGGGCATTATGCTAAGTGAAATAAGTCAGATAAAGACAAATATTATATAGTCTCACTTATATGTGAAAATTTTTGAAAAATGAACTCACAGAGAATAGATTGGTGGTTGCCGCAAGTGGGGGTTGGAGGATGGATGAAATGGGTGTAAGTGGTCAAACGGCATAAACTTTCACAACTTTCATGTACAAAATAAGGAAGTCCTGGGGACATAATATACAAGCATAGCGACTGTAGTTAATAATTCTTGTTAAGGTGCTAAGTGGTTTCATACTCTGCAACCCCGTGGATTGTAGCTCGCCAGGCTCCTGTGTCTATGGAATTTTCCATGCAAGGATACTGGATTCAGTTGCCATGTCCTCTTTCTCCAGGGGACCTTCCTGACCCAGGAATCAAACCCTCATCTCCTGCATCAACAGGCATATTCTTTACTGCTGAGCCACCAGAGAACTCCATAGTTAATGATATTGTATTGCATATGTGAAAGTTCCTGAGAGAATAGATTTTTTTAAAGTGAGGTATAGTTGATGTGGGCTTCCCTGGTGGCTCAGATGGCAAAGAATCTGCCTGCAAGGCAGGCAGGAGACCTGGCTTCAATCCCTGGGTCAGGAAGATCCCCTGGAGAAGGGACTGGTTACCCACTCCAGTATTCTTCCCTGGAGAATTCCATGGACAAAGGAGCCTGGCGGGCTACAGTCTATGTGGTCAACAAGAGTTGGACAAGACTGAGCAACTAATACTTTCACTTCATTTTCATAGTTGATGTACAATATTTTATAGATTACAGGTGAACAACAAAGTGATTCACAGTTTTTAAAGGTTATGTTCCATTTACAGTTATTATAAAATATTAGCTATATTCCCTTTGTTGTACAATATATCCTTGTTGTTTATTTTATACATATTAGTTTGCACCTCTTTATCTTCTGTCCCTGCCCTTCCCCTCCTGCTTGCCACTCCCCACTGGTAACCACTAGCTTGTTCTCTATATCTGTGAGTCTGCTTCATTTCCCTAGTCTGTTTTATTTTTAAAATTCTCCATGTCAGTGGCATCATACAGCGTTTGTCTTCCTCTAGCTCACTTATTTCATTAATATGGTCCAACTATTTACTAATTAATAGCATAATACCCTCAAACTCAATACATGTTGTTGAAAAATGGCAAAAGTTCATTCTTCTTAATGACTAATATTCCACTATGCGTGTGTGTGCGCGCGCGCGTGTGTGTGTGTGTGTGTATAGGTTGTATACATATAGATTACTTTTGTACCTTGGCAAATGTCAGTAATGCTTCTATGAACATTGGAGTGCATGGAATTTTTTAATTAGTGGATTTTTTTCATTTTAAACAGTAAAGTTTATTCAAGCTTTAATGCAGGTTATTCTGTTCTGACTTTAAGGTAGCATTGCATGGCATACTTCTGAGTACATTCCTGAAAAATTCTTTCGTACTTATTTCTCTTTTATAGATCTCTGTGACCTCTGGCACTGGGGAGGCTATCATCTAGGTTTGGATCACATAGTAGGGAACAAATGGATACCAGAACTTTAGAAATCATGAAAGCAAGAGACCACCGTGATCTTAGAATATTGAACCAAGTGCTGCCATTAGTGTTCATGTCTGGATGATAAATTCTGTTGCAAATGCAACCTTAGGTAGTGTGAATGGGTAGTCTTTTTTAGGGAAATGAATTGTCACAGAGAATACACCGCCTTGATATGGGCTGCCGTTCTTTTTCATAATTGTGGTCTGCCAATGAAATGTATCCTCCCCAACTGGACCTGCAGGATATTGTGCTGGAGGGTCACTGGCCACATCGCTAAGTTCCTTACTAATCCATTTCAGCACCATAGTCTGTGCTTTTTGTCTGACTCCTCACGGTCTCAGTGTGTGCTCAAAGGTCCGGCCAAAACTCCTGATTATCTGGTGGCTGGGAAGGGCTCTCTCTTCATCTCACA